AATTGGTTGGAGAAAATCTTGCACAAATTTCCCTCGAGTAGTGGTAATATTTCTAATTCCGACTATCGCATTGCTTCGAGTGGCCCTCGCATAGCTTTCCCTCGATTAGTCGGAATATTTCCAAGTCTGGCTGGCGCATTGGTTCACAATTTGCTTGCATAACTTTCGTACGAATACTCTGGAAATTTCAAATCAGACAGCCGCATGAGTTCGAGATTCACTCGATATAATTTACCATTGACCTGCTGGAATATTTCTAAGTACTACCGCCGCATTGGTTCGATAGGCTCTCGTACAATGTTTGCTCAACTATTCGGAAGATACCCAAGTCTGACAGCCGCATTGGTTTGAGAGGCACTCGCATAAGTTTCGCCCGGCTACTTGTAATATTTCCTAGTCCGACATCCGAATTGGTTCTAGAGGCACTCACATAACTTCCCACGATTAGTCGAAGTATTACCAATTCCGACAGTCGCTTTGGTTCGAGCGGCAATAGCATAACTTCCCCTTGACAAGTGGGAATACTTCCAAGTGCGACTAACGCTATTGTTCCAGAGTAACTTGTTTTCCCTCGTCTAGTCGGAATATTTCCTGTTGCGACAGAACTTTTGGTGCTGACATGACTCGCAGATTTCTTCCTCAGCTAGTTGTGCTAGTTCCGAGAATTTGTTCGAAAATCACTTGCATAATTTTCTCCCAACCAGTCGGAAAATTTTCAAGCCCAGTCATACGAATTAGTTTACAGGACATTCGCATAATTTTTCCGCGGTTAGTCGGAATACTTTCAGGTTCGGCAGCCGTATTGTTTCACAATTCTCTCACATAGCTCTCTATTTACTAGTAGGGATACTTCCAAGTCCGACAGCCGCATTTTCCAAGAGTCACTAGCATAACTTACCCTTACAAGTCGGAATATGTTCAAGACCGGCAGTCATATTGGCTCGGAGGGCACTTACACAAATTTCTCCCGTAAAGATGGAATATTTCCAAGTACCACACTCACATTAGTTCCAGAGGAAATCGCATAACTATCTCTCGACTAGTCGGAATATTTCCCAGCCCTACAGACACATCGGTTCGATAGGCACACGCCAAACTTTTCCTAGAATAGTCAGTATATTTCCAAGTCCGACAGTGGCATTAATTTAAAATTCATTCGCATAACTCTCACTCATCCAGTCGGAATAGTTCCAAATCCGGCCGTCCCTTTTGATCGAGTATCTCTCGCATAACTGTCCCTCGACTAAACGGAATATTTCCAATCTCGAAAGGTATCATTCTTTCGAGAGGCACTCGCATAAATTTCCCTCGTCAAGTCGGGATATTTTCAAGCACGAAAGACACATTAGATTGGAAGGCACTCCCATAAAATAGGTTCATCATGTCGAGATATGTACCAGTACGAAAGTTGCATTGATTTGAATATCACTCGCATATCTTTCCCACAGCCAGTCGCAATATTTCCAACCCTGACAGTCACATAGGTTCACAAATTACATGAATAACTTTCCCTCGACTAGTAAGAATACATGTAAGTTCGACAGACGATTTGGTTCGAGACGCACTCACATACCATTCCCTCGATTATATGCAAAAATTTCAAGTACGATCGTATCACTTTTTCGAGAGTCACTCATATAACTTTCCCTCGACTAATCGCAATATTTCCAAGTCCAACTGCTGCATTGGTCCGAGAGTCAAATGTATGACTTTCCCACGACTGGTCGGAATATTTCCCGGACCGATTACTGCATTGTTTCGGGACGTACTCGAAAGTCGGAATATTTCCAACTATGTTATTCGCATTGGAACGAATAATACATAAATAATGTTCGCTCGACTAGTCAAGACATGTCACAGTACGACAGTCGCATTGGCTCACAAGTCACTCGAATAAATCACCGTCGACTAGTTGGCAAATATCTATGCCCGACAGCCGCATTTGTCCGAGAGGTCGCTTAACATTCTCCCGACTAGACGTCATATTTCCTAGTAGGACAACCGAAATGGTTCGAGAATCACTCGCATGAATTCCCCACCACTAATCGGAATATTTCCAAGTCCAACAACCGTATTGAGTCGAGAGGCAATCGCGTAACTTTTCCTAGACTAGTCGATATAGGTCTAGTTACGACAGTAGCATTAGTAATGGAGCTATTCGCATAACATTCCCTCGATTAGTAGAAATATTTCCAAGTACTATAGTCACATTGGTTCACAAGACGCTCGCATTACTCTCACTCGACTAGTTGGCATATATCTATGTCCGGCAGCGGCATTATTTCGAAAGCCCATCGTGTAACATTCCATCAACTAGTCCGGAATAGTTGAAGATGACAGTCGCATTGGTTTACAAATTACTCACATTTTTTTCTATCGACATGTCGGAAAATTTCTACGTCCCACAGTTCTATTGTTTCGAAAGACACAAGCATAACGTTCCATCGATTAGTTGGGAAATTTTCATGTTCGAAAATTGCACTTTTCAAAATGTACTCGCATAATATACTCCCGACTAGACGGTATATTTCCAAGTCTGAAAGACGCATTTACTGCCGGGGCATACGCATAACATACCATCGAATAAACGGTATATTTTGAAGACGGACAGTTGCATTGGGTCGATATTCACTCGCATAACTTTCACTCGACTAATCGGCATATGTCGTAGTAGCATTGGTAATGGAGTTATTCGTATTACATTCCACCAATTAGTAAGAGTAAAGTTTTAAAGTCTGACATTCGCATTGCTTCACAAGCCACTCGCATTACTTTCCCTGGACGAATCGAAATATTTAGAAGTCCGACAATCGCATCGGTTCACAAATAACTCGTATAACTTTCTCACGGCTAGGCGGTATATTTCCAAGTTCGACAGTCTCATTGTTTTACAAGTCACTCGCATTCTTTCCCAAAATTAGTCCAAATTTTTCCAGGACCGACAGCCGCATTGTCTCGAAAGGTACTCGCCTAACTTTTCATCTGCTATGTCGGAATATTTCAAAACATTACGTTCGAATTGATTCACACGCTACTCTCATAACTGGCAAACGACTAGTTCGAATTTATCCTATCCTGACAGTCTCACTGGTTCACAATTTACCCGCATAGCTTTCCCTCGACAAATCTGAATTTTTCTAAGTTCGACGGTCGTATTGGTTCGACAGGCTCTCGTATAACATTCCCTTGAATAGTAGGGAAATTTCCAAGACCGACAATAGGGTTTGTTTGAGATTCAATCGCATATCTTTCCCTCGTCAGGGCGGAATACTTCCAAGTCCGACAGTCCCATTGGTTCGAGATGAATTTGAATAACTTTCCCATTAATAGTAAGAAAATTTCCAAAGAAGGCAGTCGCATTGGTACGAAAGGCAATCGTATAAAATTCGTTCGAAAGACAGGATATGTCCAAGTACAGCATTCGCGTTGAATTGAGAATTACTCGCATTACTTTCCCTCGACTAGTAGGAATATTTCCAAGTTCGACAGCCGAATCGGTTCGATTGGCACTCGCATAACTTTCCCTCGATTTGTCGGTATATTTCCAAGCCCAATAATCCTGATGGGTAACAAGTCTTTCGCATAACTCTCAGTTGATTAGTTGGAATATCTCAAAGTCCGACAGACGCTTTGGTCCGAGAAGCACTCGCTTAACATTCCCGGACCTGCTAGAATATATCCAAGCCCGGCTGCCGCATTCGTTCAAAAGGGACTTGCATAACTTTGTCTCAACTAGTCAGATTACTTTCAAGTTCGACAGTAGCTATGGTCCGAGATTCACTCGCATAAGTTTCCCTGGACTAGTCGAATTATTTCCGATTCTAGCAACCGTATGAACCCTAGTGGCTCTTGCATAACTTACCATGGAAGAATGGAATATGTTCTAGTTCGGAAGCCATATGATTTCGGAATCACTCACCTAACTTTTTCTCTACTAGGTGGAATATTACCAATTCCAACATCCGCATTGGCTTCAGAGGATGATCCAGAGGATGGGACACATCGTGAAATGCATACCTGTTTCAGTCAGCTTGAGACAATCGGACGAATGTTACCATGAGCTGTCAGTTTATTAACAAAACGACAGCCTTTTCCTGACGCCAATGTCTAGAGTACCAGTAAAAACCGGAACCATTAGGAAGTGTAATGCGTTGCTTCCACCGATGTTTCAGATTGGAGAAAACTGCAACTGGTTAGCATCTAAACCGTGGAGGAGCTGCCACATAAAATACTTCAGCCGCTGACGAAACCATAATGGAAGTATATTAAAAAAAACATGTGACATATTCTCCCAACAGGATTTGAAGAATTTACGGGAAAATATTATGTTCTTCACCGAGAGACAGGGACTTTTAAGCACTATTGCCAAGGGAGCTATAGGACACCGCATTCCACCCAACACTACCTCCATGTATAATTTACTAGGGGTAGCAGACATCAACAAAATCACAGACAGTGCGATCTCGAAGTTGTGGGATGTTTAGCTTTCGGATCAGCTAATGCGGGAATGATTAAATTATCTGTTTTAATCAAGAGTGTTATGTTATGTGTTGACGCTATTATTCGAGGATACATACTGCATGAAGTCTACAAATGGAACCTCCACAAGTTAGGAGCCGTTTAAAGTTCATTACCACACCTACTTCTTACTGGGACGACCGCAACAACAGAAAGAAGAAGAGAAAACAACGGGCGGTGGAATTAGTGATACCATCAAAGTGAAAGTGGACGAACCGGAGAGTGCTGCGACTCTGATACCCGCCGCTAGGGAATGTTCGAGGTACCCTTTCTTTGAAGGAATCTTGAAAGCTCGAAAGAACAAGTCGTCACAAGTCGAGATTTCCGAGTGATTCAATATAGGAGAATGATGTCACGTCGCCGTCTGACAACGAGTATCACTTATGGTATCCCTAAATAGTAAATCTATCAATAATGCAGAAATACAAATTCAAAATTAAGGGGTTAATATCCTTACTGTCGGTAACTCTACCGCAGGTAACACTGCTGTAGGTAAATCTACTGTCGGTACCTCTACCGCCGGTATCTTCATAGTCAGTAACTCCATTTCAGAAATGTTAATGATAACAATTATATGTAATTCCAATAAACCATGTTAACAATGATACAATATAATGAACCACTTTCTTAAATAAAGGTTATGCTTAATTAATGTATAAAAATATATGTTCGATTAGAACCAATAAGTGAAAATAGAATATAGGTATATGGTTTAGACTTTACATATGCATTATTAGGTAATTAACAATATACATACACGCACATAAATATATATTTCAAAACTAAATTAACAGACAATAAACGATTGGAAAAATTGGTAATATTAAGAAATTTTATATTAAACAATTATTAAAGGTTCATATTAACAATAATAATAATTATTTAAATTAATATATTATTATTATCTTATTGGTTAAAAATCTTTCATGTATTCACACTATCCGGCGATAACCGCAAAGCAGAGGCTAAGGTTTCTTGGAACTACATCCGGCGATAAGCGTCGAACGACCACAATACTTGGAAGAGGTGACAAAGGAATGCTCGCATTGTTTCACCACACCATCACCGCACGTAGGTGGCAAGCGCAAGCGGCGCGCATACGCAGTGACGTCAACTGGACTCGCCTATGCGAGAGCACAGGTTGTCGATAATCACATATCGATCGCCGCTCTAATTGATCAGTCGCAAGCTCCTAGCTCTAAACATCAAGGATTTATTTCGAATAAGTAACTTAGAATTTTTATCGAGTATGATTGTTACATCCCGCGAAAAGTGATTTTGAAATAGCATAAAAAAATTACAAAATAAATTAAAAGTAAAAAAAAATATAAAATAAATTAAAATTAAACAATAGCCAGTTTAAGTAAGACACGGGGATTAACCTTCTAAAACTCATTTATATCATAACACATATATGATAAGGCATGCATTCCAATGATTTCTTACATTCGTAGGGCAAAGATTATTATACGTACTCAAATATATTACCACATCGCGAACCAATAATAGTACTATCGATAATTCTATCATTAATAACCCTACTATTAACAAATTTAATTAAAACACATTTATAAATATATTAGAGGTAACTGTTACTACTTTTGTCTTCTTATTAATTAAACCACAGAACATAAATAATAAAACAGTAAAAATAACACTAAACAATTAACAAATTGGGACATTATATTAGCAAAGAATATATATAATCCTATAAAAGTTCACAGAATGAACAAGAATACTAATGAATTAATGTTATTAAAAAAGAAATATCTATAAGTTCAAAAAAATAATGGTAACAAATTAGTGCGAGACACTCTTATCATTTATGGCTAGATAACGTCCGATGATACAAATTCTAACATCCTGCGATCCAAGTACTAAGAACGGCATTATCAACATCATTCTTGGAACCACACCTGTCGATAACAACATTCCAGGGGCTAAATATTCCCATAACTGAATCCGGTTATGAGCACCGATCAAGCGCAATACTTGGAAGAGATGACAAAGGAACGCTCAGAATGTTTCGCCCCACCACCACCGCATTTAGGCGGCAACCACGAGCGGCGCGCCAGATTACCACCGTATTTAGGGGGCAAGCACAAACGGTGCGCATGCGCAGTAACGTCGACCGGACTCGCCCAGAAAGAAGCATAGCATGTCGTCAGTCATCGTTCGCAGCTCTACTTGATAACTAGCGAGCTCCTAGTTTTGAGCCTCAAGGAGTTATCTTCCAAGAGAAGAATTTTTATTAACAAGTAGTACTGCGCTACAGCATATCTATCTTTGTAAATTAAATAAATTGGAATTCTAAAATTAAACTCAGTAAAATTATAATTTATATTTAAATAATAAAATAAACGCGCTCGCATGTGGAACATTATATTCAAATGTGTTAATCAGTGTACATTGGTGAAGCATTCAATACATAATTCAAATTGTTATTGTTAATCAGTGCGTGATTTTTTTTATAACCATACATTCGTTTATCCTTATTGCTCGGTGACGATATACCGCACCGGCACCTTCCTACGAAATTGTCGTTTTCGGTGAGGACGCTTCGCACGGACGACACTTTATTCTCTTTTCTCTCCTACCTTCAACCAACCACCCTATCCATAGACTTATCTACATTATGCCAAGGGTACGTCGCGGTGATAGGAAACATCAATTACATCGACTGTTAAAAGAATTTTACCACGAAAGAGAAAATAATAACGAAGCATTAGGTGTTGAACTAATTGAAGAAGTGCAAGAAAATTTTCCATCATCACTGCCAGACCCCTATGCAGCTCTCCAGTAGGTGGATTCACCTGCTGGACCTTCCAGTATTGGATCCAAGTACCCAAACACCTGAAATAAGGCTTCAACAGCAACTTGGATTGCTCTCCCAGGAGCATCTGCAACATCGTCTCATTACTCGATTCGGTGCTAATCCCGAAGCAATTGAACTGCCCATCCAGGCAAAGGCCGAAAAGAACATTAATTACTTGCAAAAGTCGGAGTAGCTGTATTATTTTAGAAGTTAACTTTATTAAAGCACGTGGATTATGAGGCATAACACAATTTCGCTATATTTCAGCATTTCTACCTTTGTTAATTAAACAATTTGAAATCCTTCGATTAACTCAGTGGAGTTATAAACATAAAGTTTAAATAATAAAATAAACGCGTTCGCGGTACATTATATTAAAATTCAAATGTGTTTGTAATCAGTGTAGTTTGGTGAAACATTTAATATTTTATTAAATTTGTTATTGTTAATTTGTGCGTGAATATTCATATCCATTCATTCTTCCATCCTTATTGCTCGGTAAAGATAAATCGCACGAGCATTTTCACTAAGGAAATTGTCGTTTCGGCGAGGACGCTCCGCACGGACAACATTTCATTCTCTCCTTCCTTCTACAATCAACCAACCTTTCTTTCCAAACATCTACTTACCTTATGCCAAAAGTACATCGAGGTGGTAGAAAATATCAATTACGTAATCTATTAAGAGAATTCCATTACGAAACAAAAAATTATAACGAAACATTGAGTGTCAAATAAGTTGAAGGAAAGAAAGAATATTATTCAAAGTAACACCTGAATTCTGTGCAGCCATCCAGAAGGAGGACTCCTTCGCTGGACCTTCCAATCCTGGATTCTAGTACTCATGAATAATTGGAAATAAGGCTTCAGCACCGACTTAGATTGCTGTCCCAGAAGGTAAGGGAACGATCAAATACGCGCTAGCAGGATTGTCTGATCTATGCACGGAAAGAGAACTCTAAAAGTTAAGCGCGACCCAGCGATAGGCCCTCATCTCGGCCACATGCACGAATCGCACAACTGCTACAGAATCCTTCTGCGTCATAGCAGCGGAGTCCTCGATAGATCTCCAATTATTGAAACGAAGGAGACTATACGATATTAAGAAAAATAGGTGCTCAAAAGCAGACACGCTAAACGGGTAGGCACGAATATTAAACGCGCGATAGCAGAACAGGGCGACAGGTAAATCTAAAATCTAGGCAGTAGTTTGGCAGTATAGGTGGGAAAACTCCTCCAAGGGGAGGACAACATACGCGTTATTCCCGAACATCAAGAACAGGGTAGGAATCCATTTCGTCTTTCCTATCTCTTTAACAAGTTTGTTTTTGCAGGACACGAAGCCTATTAGGCCAATCTGACGTTTCCAGACACCATCACGGAAGGACCATGCAAGAGTGGCGAAGTGGACCCGGTTTCGCATCACTTCTTCGACTGTCTGGTTTACGAACCACACAGAAAGACTCTGTAAGAAACTTTCCGTGAAATGAGTTGGTCAGAAGCAGCGAGACATCTTGTCTCCACGGCCGAGGCCTTCATCCTCTTCGCGGAATTTTGCAAAGAATTCCTCATTATATAATGTCATTTGTTCATGAATAATGTTCTGCCGGGAATGTCGGCGTTCCGGTGGTGGGAATGGGTGCCTGTAATCCTCACGGGTCAGCCAACTCTCGAACACGATAGGGTCGGAGGTGCTCGTACGCACCTTCTTATTTTTCCTTTTTCTTCTCACCACCACCAAATCTCAATAATAGATCTGCTATACTTCTACACTCATCCCATCCTAGAGAGATAGTGTCAAGGCTCGCGTCATATGAGTGGACCTCCCCGTGGTTCCCCATGGTCAAGCCCTATATAAACGTGGAGTTGCGTTGATGCGAGAATGTTGGTCGTTGCTAAACCGCTCACACTGCCCTACCGGCAGGAGTTTTGGGTTTTTCCGAGTACGGTCACTTGGCCTCGATGGAAGCTGCTAGTAGATAGCTCCGTGGCGTTTGCCGAATGGGAGAGGTAGCATATGTGCAGGCACACAACGGGTGCCCAACTTTACTATACACTGTCGGACCTGGAGGCATTCCGTCTAGGCGAGGGATGTCATGCGAATATATCAAGAAACAATGCGACTGTTGGACCTAGAAAATTTCCAACTAGTAGTTGGGAAGTTATGAGAGAGCATTTAGAACTACTGTGACTTTCGAACTTAGAAATATTCCGACTAGTCAAGGGACAGATACACGGGTGACTTGTGAGACATTACAACTGTCCGACTTGGAAATATTCCGACTAGAAGAGGGTAGGTTGTGCGTGTACTACTCGGCCCAACACGAATATAGCAATTAGAAATGCTCCTACCAGTTTAGAAAATATTATGATAGGCCTCCCGATTGAGAAAGTCATTTATAGAAATATTACGCCTAGTCGAGTGAAAGTTATGTGATAGTCCCTCGAACCAATGCGACATTTGCTCTTTCAAATAGTTCCATCTGTCGAAAGAAAGAAATGCGATAACCTCCAGAAATATTGCGATTGTTGGAATTGGAAACATTCCAACTATTCGAGAGAATGATATACGAGTGCACCTCTTATCGGTGCATCTTTCGGACTAGAAAATATTCTGTCTGCTCGAAAGACTTTTGTGAGCGTTCTACTCGGACCAGTGCGTCTTTCGGATATGGAAATATTCTAACTAGTCAAGAGAAAGCTGTACGAGTACTTCTCGTACCAATGCGACTGTCGGAGTTAGGAGTGGTTCGACTACAGGAAGGAAATTTGTGCTAATACCTGTCGCAACAATGCGACTGTCGAAATTGGAAATATTCCGACTGGACGAGAGAAAGTTGTGCGTTTCTTCTTGTACCCATGTGACTGTAACACACGGAACATTACGTCAATTCGATGGAAAGTTGCTTTAGTGGTTTTCCAACCAATGCGAGTGCCGAACTTGGAGTCATTCCGAATAGTCGAGGGTAAGATATGCGATTGACGTTCGAACCAATGCAACTGAAGGACTGGGAAATATTCCGACAAGTCGAGAGAAAATTTTGCGAGTACTTCAAGAGACAATGCGACTCTATGATCAAGAAACATTCCGTCTAGTAGTGGGAAAGTTATACGAAATAATCGGTAACCATCGCCACTGTCGGACAAGGGTATTTTCCGACTAGTGTGAAAAATTAGTGGGAATGTCTCTCAAACCATTGCGATGACCGGACCAGCTAATATTCCATGTAGTCGAGGGAAAGGTATGCGATGTTCACATCGTACCAATGCTACTGTTGTGATTGGGATTATTTCGACAATTCGAAAGATAGTTTCACGAGTATCTCTCGAACCGATTCAACTGTCGGACTTAGAAATATTCGTCTACTCGAAGGAAAGATATGAGATAGCACATAGAACCAATGCGATTATCGGAATTAACAGTATTCCGTCTAATCGAAGTAAAGCTATGAGAGTGACTTGTGAACCAATGAGATTGTCGGACTTGGAACAATTCCGACCAGTCGAGGGAATGTTATATACGTTTTTCTTGAACCAACGCCACTGTCGAACCTTCAAATATTCCGACTAGACGAGACAAAGATGTTTGAGTCCCACTTGAACCAATGTGATTATCGGACCTAGAAATATTCCGACAGGTCGTGGAATAGTTATGAGCATATACCTTGAATCAATGAGATTGTCGTACTTGTAAATATTCCGACTTCTCGAGGGAACGTTACGTTAATGTATCACGAACCAAACCGAATGCTGGACCTAGAAATATTTCGTCTAATAGTGGAAATGTTATGAGAGTGCACCTAAAGCCAATGCGATTGTTGTATATATGAATACTTCAACTAGTCGTAGAAGGGTTGTGTGATCGACTTGTGAACCGAAGGGACTGTCGAACTTGGATATATTCCAACTAGTTGAAGGAAAGTTACAAGAGTTCCTCTCGATCCATTGCGGTGGTCGGTTCAAAAAATATTCCATCTAGTCGAGGTAAAGTTATGCGAGCTCCTCAAGGAACAATGCGATTGTCGGACCCAGAAATATTTCGTATAGTTGTGGGAAATATTCGCGAGTGCATCTCTAACCAATGCCACTGTCGGATTTGGAAATATTCCAACTGGTCTGGGGAAAGTAATCCGAGAGCCTCTCGGACCAACACGACTGTAGGCCACGGAAATATTATAACAATTCGAAAGAATTATAGGCGATTTTCTCGGGTACTAATGTGGATGCTGTCTTTGGATACATTTTAACATGTTTGAAGAAATTTATGAGAGTACCTCACGATCCAATACGGTTGCCGGACTTGGACATATTCTGACTTGTCAAAAGTAAGATATGCGAGTGACCCTAGTACCATTGCGGCTGTCGGACTTGGAAGTATTTCGACTAGTCAAGGAAAAGTTATGAGAATATATCTCAAACCAATGCGGCTGTCGGATTTTGAAATAACACGATTAGTCGAGGGAAAGATTTGCGATTGCCCCTGGAAGCAATGCGTATGTCGGACTTGGAATTATTCCGACCAGTCAAGGGAAAGTTAGACAAATCCATCTCGAAGCAGTACGTCTGCTGGTTTTTGATATATTTCGACTTGTCGAGGGAATGTAATGCGAAAGCTTCTTTTGCCAAGCGACTGTTGAAACTTGAAATGTTCCCATCTAATCAACAGAATGTTGTCTATGTGCCTCTCGAACCAATGCGAATCGCGGTCTTGGAAATATTACGACCCATCATCGGAAAGATATGCGTATAGTGACTTGTGATCCAATGATATTTGCGGACGTGGTAATATTCCGTCTAGTCGAGGGAAAGTTTTGTGAGCTCCTCTCGAACCAATGCGGCTGCCGCATTTGGAAATATTACGACAAGTCGAGGGAGAGTTATGGGAATACTTCTCGGAACATCGCGACTGTCGCATATAGGAAAATTCCGACCAGTTGAAGAAAATATATGCGCGTGCCTCTTGAACCAGTGCGAATGTCAGACCTGGAAGTAGTCCGACTATACATAGTAAACTAATGCTAGAGCATCTCGAACCAATGCGAATGTCGTACTTGAATATATTCCTAGTAGGCGAGGGAAAGTAATGCGACTACCTTTTGAACAAATGCGACTGTCGGACTTAGAAATATACCGACTACTCCAGGGACATTTATGCAAGCCCCTCTCTAAGCATACGACTGTTGGTTTTAGAAATATTACGATTAGTCTAGGGAAAGTTCAGCGAGTGCCTCTAGAAGCAATACGACTGCTTGTCCAAAAAATATTTCGACTAATCGAGAGAAAGTAATGGGAATGATTCTTGAGACAGAGCGACTATCGCATGTAGAAAAATTCCGTCTATTCGAAGAAAATTTATGCCAGTGCCTCTACAATCAGTGCGACTGTCGGACTTGGAAGTATTCCGCCTAACCAAGGGAAAGTTATGCGAATGCCTCTCGAAACAATGCATCTATCAGATATATAAATAATATGACTAATCGAGGGAAAGTTATGCAAGTTTTGCTCGAACTAATGCAACTTATGGACTCGAAAATTTTCCGACTAATCGACAGAAAGTTATTCGAATGACTTGTGAAATAATGCGTCTGACGGATATAGAAATATACCAACTACGCAAGGGAAGTTATGCGAGTTCTTCTCAAACCAATATGACAGTAGGTCTTAGAAATATTCCGACTAAACGAGAGGGTATCATGCGTGTGCCTACCGAACCAATGCGACAATCGCACTTGAATATATTCCGACTAGACAAGGGGAAGATATGCGAGAGCCTAGTGAATTAATGTGACTGTCGGTCTTGGATGTGTTCCCATGTGTCGAAGAAAATTTATGCGAGTGACATGTGAACCAATGCGACAGTCGGAATTGGAAATATTCCGACTTGTCGAGCGAATGGTATAAGAGTGACGTTTGAACCAATGCGACTGTCGGTCTTGTAGGTATTCCGACTAGTCGACGGTAAGATATGCGAATGCCTGATGGAACAATGTGACTGTCGGTCTTAGAAATATTCCATCTAGTAGTGGGAAAGTTTTCCGAGTCCTACTCAAAACAAAACGAATATAGGTCTTGGAAATGAATACACTATTCAAGGGAACATCATGCGAGTGACTTGTGAAGAAATGAATTAACAGGCTTGGATATTTTCCGACTGTTCCAGGGAATGTTATGCAAGAGCCTCTCGATCCATTGCGACAGTAAGACATGGAAATATATTGACTGGTCGAGGGAAAGTAAAGTGAGTAACTTGTGTACAAATGCTACCATTTGACGTTGAAGTATCCGTCTAGTCGAGGGATAGTTATGCAAATGCCTTTGTGACCAATGAGGCTGTCGGACATGGTAATATTTCAACTAAGTGGGAGACCGTTATGTGAGTGCCTTCCGAAACTATACGCCTGCCGAACTGGAACATATTCCTGCTAATCTATGGGAAATGTTACGAGAACTACTACGGCCAATATGACTGTCGGAATTGGAAATAATCCAATTATTCTAGGGAAACCTATGCGAGTGCAAAAAGAATCAAAGCGACTGTCGCACTTGAAACTATTCCGACTAGTGGAGTGAAAGTTATACGAGCGATTCTTGAACCTATACAACTGTCGGACACAGGAATATTCCGACTAGTTGAAAGAAAGTTATGCTATTTACTTGTGAACAAATGCGGCTGTATGACGTGACAATATTCCGACTAGTCGAAGGGACGTTATGTGAGTGATTCTGGAACCAATACGACTGGCGGACAAGGTAGTATTCCGCTGAGTCG